ATTTTTATTTGATGGGACCGAACCGTGAGGCTGCCTACGTATACCTTAAAAGGAATCTAAGGTTAAAAGGAATCAGGTCGAACGTAGTTCATGTCATAAAAATTACTTTGTTGTTGTGATTTTTTTTTCTTTTCTTTTCTCTTCTTTTCTCTTTTTTTTCCTTTTCTCTTTGTTGTTTTTGTTGTTTTTTTCTTTTTCTTTTCTTCTCTTTTCCTTCTTCTTTTTTTCTCTCTCTTTTCATTCTTTTTCTTTTTTTTTCTTTTTTCTTTACTTATCTTTCACGCTTGTGTTTCTGATTTTTGCTACTGATTCCGAAAGAGGGATATGAAAGAAGATAAATAAGGCTCAAAAGGGGTAACCAAGGATAAAGTGTTTTGATAGCAGAACAAAATGCCTTCGTCATTCCAAACTTCAAAAAATGCCAAGTACAAACAACACAATTAAACAAACACAAAAAACATTCGTAATATCTTTTGATTGTACCAGACTTGATAACCATATCCACGCATTCGCCTTCTACATCTGTTGAATACAAAGCACCATGGGACAACACTCTCACTCTCCTTACCACGAACGGCCCCTACCAATTTGGGCAAACTTGCCTTTAGCTTCAACCCGATGCGGCATGATCCATTTCAATAGGGTTTCTTTATGTTCTATCTGCTCCAATTTCACGTGGTTCGGGCTTCAAGTGATCTCAAAATGCCTTTACTTATGTCCCTCAAATGTCCCTATCATCTTCAAAATTGTTTCATTGATTCATGACTAAACTAAACTTTTAAGACCAGGCTAAGAATTACGCGTGCATGTCATGTCACTAGAGTCAGTAGGAAAAGAACTATAAGGAAAAGAGAACTAAACAAAAATTACTAGAAATAACAGAAAATTGCATTAGACAGATGGTGAAAAGGTTTGAAGAACAAACAAGCAAACTAAACTAGGGTTACAACCCTGGAACAACCCTAGACAACACTAAACGAGTTACTACGAAAAAACAAACTAGGCAAAATAAAAGGATAGAAGGGTTTGAATCACAAGACAATATCCAGATTACAACCCTGAAAATAACCCGGACAATAGAAATGACAATAAAATAAACCACCAAGACTCCTCTCTAGCTAGCCAAGAGATGGAGCGTCTTTCCAATTACCAAGCACGGCATCTTAGCCACTGAGTTCAACATCAACGTTGCTGGAACCTTCACAGGTCTTCATCTTATTGTCCTTAGCAAATTGCTTTTGGGTCCCTTTAGTCGGCTCGTTCTTATGACCAACTTCCGGAACCAAGAGTGACAATGCTAAAAGCTTTGCGGCAGGTGGCCCTCCGAGGATCTCAGAATAGTTATTATATTCCTTTTCCACACAAATCATGTCCTCCATATGCGTCTCATTGTAAACAGGCAATGGACTTTGGCTAGTATCTGCTGTATTTGGATTTTGCACGGTAATGTCACCTGCATCAATAAGCTTCTGGACTGCTCCTTTCAGATGCCAACATTTCTCTATGTCATGCCCCGGGGCATCTAAGCAATATACTCACCTTTGAGAAAAATCAAACTTCTTTGGAAGAGGGTTTGGCATTTTTATTTGAATCGGCTTCAACATGTCCAATTTCCTTAGCCTCTGGAACAGACTGGCATATGACTCTCCCAATGGAGTGAATGTTTTCTTTCTCTGAAACCTCTCATTCTTATATGCTTGATTGGGCCGGAAACTTGATCCAGGAGGGTTTCGGTAGGCTTGTGGGGGTGGGTAAGACATTTGTGGATGTGGTGCGGGCCATTGCGGGCCTCGTGGATGTGGAGCATATGGTGGTGCATTGTGGATGGGGTATCGGGAAAGTGATGTACGATTTTGGGGGTTCTATGGAGAGAAGTAGCAGTGAGGAGGATGACAAGGATATCCGCGGGGTCGATATTGAGGCTGAAAGCGTTTAGCAAGAATGCCCACTGGATCCTGTCGTTGGCGGGGCTCAACAACATCTTTTCTATCAATGGGAGGACTGTCCCGAGCAACTTGTTCGTTCCATCTGAGCCAAAAGTCCCTAAAACTTTCCTTGGTTTCTTTTCCATATGAGATGGGGAGGAGCGATCTGGGACAGTCTCTATATTGTTCTGAAAGTGTCGCACAAAATCTTGAGCCATGTAGCCCAATGTAGGCCACCTACCGACATCTTGACGATTATGCCATTCCAAAGCTGCCCCAGTCAAGCTCTTACTGAAATATGCCATCAACAAGTCATCTTTCTCTCCAACACTTCTCATTTCACTGCAATAAACCCTCAGGTGGGCTACCGGATCTCCACACCCATCATACAAGTTAAATTTTGGCACTTTAAACCCCGCGGGTAGGTGAACGTCAGGGGACACAGACAATTCTTTGTAAGACATGTTACCCTGGGCTCCCACTCCTTGCTTGTTCTTTAAGGACTGTTCTATGCCTTTCAGCTTCTTGGATATCTCATCTCGCCCTTCTTTTCTTGTGACTTTTTCATTTTCAACATGAGGCTCGTCCCGCGGGCCCTACTTGTATGAGTTGGGAACCTTGTGGGCAACCTCTGAGGGGTAATATTGGGCATCATGAGCTTTGAGTGGGTGTTCATTGTCAGGGATAGTGGATGTGATAGGAGGGCACTTTTGGGAAAAGATAGTTGGAGGACGAGTGATGGAGCTACTAGGGTGGTCGGGAAAGCTGTGATAAGCGGGAGGATCATCTGGCATTGTGTCCGGAGTTTGGGTAAGGGCAGCATCTGGGAAGCTGGGTGGTGGCGGGGGTGGTGCCTTCCCAGTCATCCAAGCCTGATACATGTCCGCCATGTGTTGTCTTAACATCTTTACCTCTTCAACCAACCCATTGTCCTGTTGAACAAACTGCTTTCGGGCACCGGTATCAACCAACTCAGTTCCGTTGTTGTCTGCCATTGCCTTTTGACTTTATGTTGTAGAGAAGAGTTACCACTTTAAAACCACAAACCAACCACCCTTCTGCTATGAATATAACAAAATAAAGCCATCACGTTAGCGTTAGGGCATTTAACATAAGATAATCTCACTTTATGTGCAATGCACCTAGCCACAGTTATCGGTTCTAAAATGACTTCGAGAGTACAAACGTCAGTTGGCATCATCCCAATTTGTTCATTTCAACCCTCTCCTTCCTTCGCTTTTCTAGCACTTCTTGGCTCGCTCATTTTCCTTCCTTTTTCTTTCTTTCTGATTATCGCTCTTTTCTTCCTTCTCATTTCTCACCTCCCATAATTTCATCATCTTTTCTTTCTTTTTCTCTCTTTTTCCTTTTTTTCTTTTTCTTTTCTTTTTTTCTTTTTCTTTTCTTTTTTTCTTTTTCTTTTAATAATAAAAAAAATGATTCGATCGAACCCTATGTAGGTTGCCTACGTATCATGACCCCGCATGAATCAGATCATTGCGTAGTTCTGGAAGATCGAGAATGGAGCAAATAAACTAACTCTTTTTTTTAAAAAAAAAAACTCAAACCATGAAAGCTCTAAGAAACAGAAAAACATTTTTTTTTCTTTTTTTTTTCTATTTTTTTTTGAAAATCAACTTGAAACCATTTCAATACCACCAAAACCATCTGATACTAAGCAACAAAGATACAAATCCAACCTTATCTAACTCTTGACCCTATTTTAAAGATGAGCTACTAGCTGATGGCCAAACCATTTACAAAAGATGGTCACATATGTAAAAACTGGTCAATTCTGCAATTCTGGACAGCCTCACAATAACTGACAAAGTTGCAGCCTAATGGTAATCTCCCGAGCAATGTTCTTGAACAACTGAAGCAATGGTAATTCAACCAAACAACTTTGCAGCCTCAATACACTTCAAGCAATTTCCATAAACATTTAACACATCGCCCAACAGAAAGTAGTAATCCCAAAAAAATTCTTTTTCTTTTCGTTCTTTACTTTCTGATTTCTCTTCTTTTATTCATTTTTTTTCTTTATTTTTTAAACATCCAACCTTCATATGTCATTCAACTAAAACAGCAATCGTGAACCATACAGTACCCCCTAAAATTATTCTGCGAACCCTTATGTGAAAGCGCATGCACATAGCCATCACAACACAACTCACATGAAGTGAACTTAAAATAGCTACAAAAGACTAGAAAATGCCATCTAGCTAATTAATAACACACCTACAAGCACCATGCCCATAAAAGGAAACAACTTTTACCCCGAGCATCTGCTGGGCAAGCATTTAATACGTGAATTTGTTTGTGTAATATTGATCACATAGAGTCTGTAAACCGAGTAAAATGTAACCCTGTATTGAGTGCAATATACCAGTAATTAAACATTTCAAAATCGAATGTAAAAGACTAATGCTAAACCAGTAATTCCACCTCAATACCTAATGCATCCAATCCTCCACTACTACTAATCATGATACACCTCCTAACTAACAACAAAACTTTCCCACTGCAGATGACTTCAGATCTCACTTCAGGCAGTACAATCTAAAAATTGTAGCTAGAAAAACAGGCAGTACAATCTGAAAATAATAGCTAGAAAAACAGGCAGTACAATCTGAAAATTAATAACCAAACCTCAGCCCCAAAGCTACAGGTTTTTCTAGCTCAAATGCTCTTCAGCTAACAAGCTAAAACAATGTAGAATTACAACAGAAATCAGAGCAGTTCTTAGGCTGCAGCAGGGCAGAATCTACAGCTGTGCAGATTTCAGCAGCCCAGTTTAGAAACTCAGCAACTGTGCAGGATCAAACTCAAAAATGCAATTAAAATTTAGAACCAAGCAGAAAACTGTGCTGCAGACAACTCTACAGATTTACATTTATAGCTGCTGGACCAACTGACATTTGTAATCACCAAAACATTTGTAATCAACCGAATTCAACTGTGCAGAAAAATCAGCTTGCCCTCACTAGACAACTGATGCAAAAAGTGCAGATTTTCAAGGCTGTTTCAACAGCTTTCAATAGCAGTCCGAAACGCTCCTATTTGAGATCAAAATTCTTCAAACAAGCTATAATGTCCAAACCCAATTTCAGGTTCACAAAATGTTGCAGAAAAATAAAAATAGTGCTTAGGGAACTTGTATTACATCAACAGATTTCAATTAAATACAGAATTCAAAGACTCGAACAAGCTGACGCAGGTTTGCTATTCAATTGCTGCTCAAAACTCGGAACTTCAGCAACACCTTGAGCGCTAAATTCAGCAGCAGTAGACACAGAAATTTCCGGCTCAAAACGACGACCTCAACAGTAGAAACAAAGTATTGGAATCACAGCAGCATTGAATCAGAATAACCACAAAGTGCAGCTGAATAGTGTAGAATCTGCTTTCAAAAGACTGCTCAAAACTAAAATTTCAGTAGTGTATTGTTGTCACATAAACTAGAGCAATGCAGCTAAGTTAAAGTGAAGCTAAAACCTTTGCAAAATTCCCTCAACTGTTCAGAAAAACTATAGTAACACCAATCTACAAAGGAAATGCGGAAATCTTCACTGTTAAGCAAAAACTAAATAATATATGACTGTGGGCAGCAAGCACGAAACCCTTTACAGCAACAGGAAACAAACAACAAATTATTGCCCAGCAAACATTCACTTCTATCGGCAGATTCTAACCAACTGGACAATAGTTTATGTAACAAAAACACTCAATTCAACCAGGAGAACATTTTAGAAGTAAAAACCAGATTTCAACTATCACTGCTGAACTCAAGCACAATCTCAACTAACACAAAGTTTCCGCAGATTTAGCTTACGAATCACAATTCAAGCATGCTCAATCTCTAGTCCAACTGAATCCCCTCTATTAAACTCAACGACGACAACAACTATTAAAACCGATGGTAACAAGTTCAAACTAGGAGAATTTCAGCTATCAATTTACTCCAAAAACTTCTCCACAAATAGAGGCAAACTTCAACAGGACAAGCTTCAAAACTTCGCAGTCTTAGCACAAAGATAATTGGTGTTCAATGCAGGATTTACTTTCAAACATTGCCCTAAGAATAACTCATAGATTGAATTGAAGTCACAAAACAATGCTCCAACAAACAAGGAATGATCCCAATAGAACTTTCGTCAGCATAAAAGAAGTTTGACAAGAGAACTTCAACTTGAACTCTAAAAATTTCAATAGTAGAGTCCATTGACACAACTCAATTCACACAATTTCCAACAAGTAACTTCTGAATTCTAAAACTAACCTATGTGGCTAAAAGTGGTAAGAAGTGCAAGATTTGGCTAAGACCCCGCGAAGCCAAGAACCTAAGATTTACTAGGAAGACCGGACCCTATGTGGGTTGCCTACGTATCCCGCCCCGAAAGACAAGACTCAGGTATGCGTAGTTCGGGCAGATTGGATACGGTTGAGAATTAAAAAAAAATAACTAATTTAGAGAAAACATATTTTTTGCTTTTCCTTGAAAAATGATGAAACATGCAAAATCTTTTTGGATTTTCTTTCTCTTTTTTGATTTTTTTTTTGATTTTTCGAAAAATGATGCAAAAGTGCAAAATCTTTTGGAATTTTTCATTTTTTTTTTCTCTCTTCCTTAACAAAAATGTGACAGAAAAATAATTGGGCCCCACTCGCTTTATCTTCACACTTCACTCTCTCTTTTTTTTTTCTTTTTTTTTCATTTTTCACTATTTTTCATTTTTTTTCATTTGCCCTCAGCTATCCTTGGTCCGCCAAAGACCCTTTTACCCTTGAATAAATGCAACATGTAGCACATAGGATGCATCAAGATGGTCTATTATTTTGGGTACACCTGTCCTAGACGGACCCAACCCCTGTGTTGAGTCCCCTAAGTCAAATGCACATGATGCAGATAAGCGTTCCTACTAGGGATCCGGCATGAGGCTGGGTTATTCTAGGTTTAAAACCTGGGTTTATTTGTTCTAGACCTGGCTTACCCGAGCGGACAACTCGAGCCGAGGGGGGCAGCGTACCGNGGGGGGGGCAGCGTACCAGGAATACAGAAGCTTCACCGGCTTTGCAACTTGTCCGAACCTCGTTCTAAAAAGGGATAAGACTCTAGACAGAACAGAAGTCACACGAAGTGCACCCTTCTCCATGATTTAGAAGACTCAGAGAGAGGAAGGGTTTCGTAGCAGTTTATATACAGTTCACAGAATATCAAAGCATTAAAAAGCAACATTTAGCATATTAGGCCCAAACGTGTAACAAAATCAGATAAAGCCAAACATAAAAATTTATCTAAGCTCGAATTCTGAACCCTGAACCAAAAGTTCTGGGCTGTTATCCCCAGCAGAGTCGCCAGAGCTGTCACACCTCCTTTTTTCACTACACCCCCGGAAGAGGTATAGTATAAGGGAGTTTTTCCAATTAAAGGACAATCGAAACGGGATTTATTTATTAAAAGATTCAGAGTCGCCACTTGTGATAATTTATGGTGTCCCAAGCCACTGGTTTAAAATCTCGAATCGAGGAAAGAATGACTCTGTATTACAGTCCGCGAACCAGAAATTCGGGTAAGGAATTCTGTTAACCCGGGAGAAGGTATTAGGCATTCCCGAGTTCCGTGGTTCTAACACGGTCGCTCAACTGTTATAACTGGCATGATTATCTGATTTTAAAACATTTTGAACCTATGTGCAATTTTAACTCTTTAACTGCTTTATTCATTTTTAAAAGAAGATTTAACGTCGTCTAAAATATGTCTTTGGATTACGTCACATGAAATGCACCCGTAATCCGAAACACATTTTATTCAACGTTATAAGGATTTGGATTTGGGTCACATGAAATGCACACCCGAGTTTAGGAAGATAATATTATTAAAGTAACGCACCTAAAGGAACTACGTGTTTGCAACTTTGCGAGGGTCATGGAATTTCGCTAAATGGCACGCCTCGAATTCTAAGGATCAATACAAGATTAATTAAATAAGGGCCATGCAATTATCATTTTGTTTTGCACGGCACACCTCGATTCCTTTCAATTCCAAACTAACACAACTAAATGGGTTCATGCCGATATAATCAATCCAATATTCCCTTTAATATGAACCAACACCCACATTTCAAACTGTACAAAATGCTATGACTAAAGCATCTTCCAAATTATTCCATCTCAAATTTAATGAACAGAGAGTGCCTTCTTACTACTACACTTGAATTTAGATTCATCTAAATCAAAAATATACATTTGACCCAAAATGCTCAAAACAACCAAACCAACTGACTATGGGAATTGAAACGCAAACTAATCAAAGAAAACACCTAGCACAGAACATTATGATAAGAATTCACGCCAAATAAAGTCAGCAAATCTTCTTATTCGATATTCGGACGTTTGTTTCATCAAAAGCACATCGACAACAATCAATACCCGAAGCACTTTAGTCTGCAAATCCTAATGCAACTAACAAATAAGACTTAACCACATTTCTCCATATACATCATTAACATCAGCTATAATGAATCATTCCAATTGCCATTTTCAAACTCAAAGGCAAACGTGAAAAGTGGAGACTTTGACAGAATGAATAGGGATCAATTGATAGACATTTTTCTTGAGGAAGAGAATCCAGGATGAACGCTTTTTTCATTCGCTATGCGCTGACTGGATGCCCCATTCCATCGATTTAAAACAAGAAATTAACATGAAGAGCCACATGAAAAGCTTGAAACAGTCTATAATGGAGCTTAAACTGAATCTTAGATAAAATTCCAAAGCCACAACATATATCGCAACATATACACGGATTTCGGATAAAACAAATCGAACAAATTGCAACACGAACAAAGTAATGAAGCTGGAACCACTGACCGCATAGGGAATTACAACGGTAACCTCGAATCTGCCCGGAAATCAAAATTGAGCCTCAAACCACGCTCATCTTTTAGAAAAAAAAAACAGAATTGAAAGATGAAATCTGAAACTTGAATCTCTTTGAGAAACTTCAACTGAAACCAAACTGTCAACGATGCCTCGAACAAAATTCGAACCAACAGATGGTGAGGCAGAAAATCGGATAAATCGTTTGGACAGAAGCGAGATGGAAGTTCGAGGGGAGGGGTCGTTTACGGTAGAGAAGATGAAACTGGAGATAGGCGTGAAAGAGATGATGACGGGGGAGTCGGGGGTCTCGATGGGTGTTCTGCGGCTGAAGCTCTTCAGCCTTTTCCTCCTTTTTCCATTTTTCAGCCCTTCAGGCGTTATTCTTTGGTGTTATGCGATGTGAGGAAGATGAGAACGTATGAGGGAGGGGTCCTGTGTTGTGTATTCGGCGCAGCTCTTTCAGAGTCCTCCGCTTTTTGCTAATTTTCAGCATTACTTTCAGCATTACTTTATAGGTAGAGTCTAGGATTAGGTGTATTTTTATGTATTTTGCCAATTAGTCCCTAGGTTTTTTTGTGTTAAGTCCTTAGGATCTTTTTTTTATTTTTTTTTATTCCAAAGAAGAGTCTAGAAGGGTCCCTAGGCTTAATGGACTAATCCGAATTGGACCAAGAATTGGGCTCTAAAACTCTTAAAATTGTGATCCAACACCTTAATTGACTCCTTTTAAAATAAGATAAAAATACTACACAATGCAAAATCTAACATGAAACTATTATATATTTTTTGTATTTTCAAGATTATGTAAAGATAAAAATAAGGTACTATTTTTGTATAATTCTTATTTAAATTTATGAAAGATACGTAAGCTAAAATATTTTTTTGTAATTTTCTATTTTTATGACAAAAATAAAGGAAAGAAGTCAAAAATGGCTGAAATAGCTATATTAGGCCTACATTAAATATTTACATGCTAAAATATAAAAAATCTTGGGGAGGATCAAAAATCATATGTCTACAGGGCCAATGTTCCTCAAGGCGACCCTACGGTTATTCATTTGCATAAGGAGTTACACGACCATGGGCAAGCTATAGCGGAGTTGACAACTACTATGAATCAATTGGCTAAGGCACAGTTGCAACAGGTCCAAAACCCTCGCCAAGTGAATGCCATGGAAGGTGTTAGTATGCTTACCAACAAGAGAAGGCAAAGAAGGCAACAAAACCAAGGGAATTTCGAGCAATTTGGTGATGATTGTGATGGGTTTCAAAATGAGGCTATGATGAGCCAAGTGAAGAGGTACAATACATTAACAACTATCAAGGCAATAGAGGCAACTCTTCAAATCAACAATGGCGATCCCAAGGAAATTGGGGCAATCAACAACAAGGTGGTGGTAATTGGAACAACAATAACAACCAAGGTGGTAATTGGAACAACAACCAAGGCGGTAATTGGGGGAACAACAATCAAGGCAACCAAGGGAATTGGAATGGTAATAACAACAATTGGAACAACAATGGTCAAGGCGGGTGGAACAACAATGGAAACCAAGGCAACTGGGGGCAAGGCTTTCAAAGGTCCCCGATGTACCAACAACCGAACAATCCGCCTCCATTTCAATCTCAAGGATCTAGTTCTTAGGGCAATGATATGGGAAGAATAGAAATGATGTTCGAACAAATGATGAAGAAGAACCAAGATTCCAATGCTCAATTGGCTTCCCACAATACCTCTATCCGGAACTTGGAGGTGCAATTAGGCCAAATCTCTCAATCGTTGAACACTCGCCCTAAGGGTGCTCTACCGAGTGATACGATAGTGAACCCGAAGGGTGGAAACAATGATGTGATGACGGTTACAACAAGAAGTGGGATAGGCGGTGATGTGCATGACTCAAAAGATAAGCAAGTTGTTGATGATGATGTTGAGTTGCGAGAAAATGATGAACCTTTAATAGTTGAAGATGTGGTTGAGAACAATGTGAACAATGAAGTGAGGATAGATATTGATGAGGCCTAGGTGGAAACTCAAGATGCCATGAACCCGTCTAGGGAACACGTGATTGACATGCCCGAGCCGGTGGTGCCCAAAACCAAGGCACCTTTGCCTAGGCCACCTCCGCCTTATCCTCAAAGGCTTGCAAAACAAAGAAATGATAATCAATTCAAAAAGTTCATTGATATGATGAAGAGCTTGTCCATAAATGTGCCGTTTGTAGAAGCCCTTGAACAAATGCCGGGCTATGCAAAGTTCATGAAAGATTTGGTGACAAAAAAACGGTCGATGGATTGTGAAACAATAAAGATGACTCACCAAGTTAGTGCTATCGTGCCTTCTATGGCCCCAAAACTTGAAGACCCCGGAGCTTTTACTATCCCTTGCACTATCGGTAGTGCGGATTTTGCCAAGGCCCTTTGTGATTTGGGGGCTAGCATAAATTTGATGCCTTATTCGGTCTTCAAGACTTAGGGAATTGGGCAACCTAGGCCGACCTCAATGAGACTTCAAATGGCGGATTGTTCGATGAAGCGACCTTTGGGCATAATTGATGATGTGCTTGTCCGGGTGGACAAGTTTATATTGCCGGCCGACTTTGTCATTTTGGATTGTGAAGTGGACTACGAAGTCCCAATTATTCTAGGGAGACCTTTCCTTGCAACGGGGAAGGCATTGGTTGATGTTGAAGCGGGTGAGCTCACTTTTCGAGTGGGTGATGAGAAGGTCGTCTTCCATGTTTGCAAATCCATGAAGCAACCCAATAGCACCGAGGTGTGTTCATTTGTGGACATTGTCACAGCTGTGATAGTGGATGACACAAGTTCTATGATTAACGTAGAGGATCCCCTTGAGCCCGTGCTTCTAAATCTTGATGTCAATGAGGATGCTAGCCGAGTGGAGTGCGTAAATGCCTTGCATGGAATGGGGTCCTATTCTTATGAGCCGAGAAGGCTATCCTTGGACCTTGAAAATAGAAAGACGCCTCCAACTAAGACATCAATTGAGGAGCCACCGGTGTTGGAGTTGAAGCCACTTCCTCCACACCTCAGGTATGAGTTCTTGGGCTAAAATTCTACTTTACCAGTTATTCTTTCTTCTTGCCTTACTATCATGCAGGTTGAGGCCACTTTGGAGGTGCTTCAAAGGCGAACAAGCGCAATTGGATGGACTCTGGCGGACATTCGGGGAATAAGCCCCGCATTTTGCATGCACAAAATTATCTTGGAGGATGATGCAAGGCCTTCCTTAGAACATCAAAGGAGGCTCAATGAGGCAATGCAAGAGGTGGTGAAGAAATAAGTGATCAAGTGGCTTGATGCGGGTATGGTGTATCCAATCTCCGATAGCTCATGGACTTCTCCGGTACAATGTGTGCCGAAGAAAGGTGAGATGACTGTGGTAACAAATGACAACAATGAACTAATTCCCACTCGGACCATTACCGGGTGGAGAGTTTGCATGGACTACCAGAAACCGAACAAGGTGACCCGAAAAGATCATTTCCCTTTGCCATTCCTTGACCAAATGCTTGATCGCCTTGCTGGGCGTGCTTTTTATTGCTTTTTGGATGGCTACTCGGGGTATAATTAAATTTTAATTGCTCCGGAGGACCAAGAGAAGACCACATTCACCTGCCCATATGGTACTTTTGCTTTCTCCCGGATGTCGTTCGGGTTGTGCAATGCTCCTGCGACCTTCCAACGATACATGATGGCTATTTTCACCGACATGGTGGAAGATATTTTGTAGGTATTTATGGATGATTTTAGCGTGGTTGGTGATTCATTTGAAGAGTGTTTGGGGAATTTGGATAGAGTCTTGGCCTGATGTGAAGAAACGAATCTCGTTCTTAATTGGGAAAAATGCCATTTCATGGTTGAAGAAGGTATAGTGTTGGGTCACAAGATTTCTAAGCATGGGATTGAAGTAGACAATGCCAAGATTGAGGTGATTTCAAGGCTCCCTCCCCCCAATTCTGTCAAAGGGGTGAGGAGTTTTCTTGGACATGCGGGGTTCTACCGGCGGTTTATCAAGGATTTTTCGAAGGTTGTGAATCCCCTTTGCAAGTTGCTAGAGAAAGATGCTAAGTTTGTGTTTGATGAGAAATGCATGGAGGCCTTTGAACTTCTTAAGCACAAGTTGACCTCCACTCCGATCATTACCGCACCCAATTGGAGTTTGCCTTTCGAGCTTATGTGTGATGCAAGTGATGTAGCGGTTGGAGCTGTGTTGGGTCAACGTGTAAACAAAATGTTTCATCCCGTGTACTATGCAAGCAAGACTATGAATGAATCTCAAAGGAACTACACGGTGACGGAGAAGAAATTGTTGGCTATTGTGTTTGCCATGGAAAAATTTCGGCCATATCTTATGGGGGCCAAAGTCATAGTGCACACCGACCATGCCGCCCTTAGGTATTTGATGACCAAGAAAGACTCCAAGGCAAGGTTGATGAGATGGGTATTACTTCTTCAAGAGTTTGATTTGGAAATAGTGGACCGGAAAGGTAGTGAGAACCAAGTTGCGGATCATTTGTCCCGCTTGGAGGAGGAAGGAAGGCCGTGTGATGGCTTGGAGATCAATGATACATTCCCCGATGAGCAACTACTTTCCGTGTCAATTTGTGATATGCCATGGTTTGCGGACATTGTGACTGGCATCATCCCGTGTGAGCTCTCTTCTAACCAAAGGAAGAAGCTCAAACGGGATAGTCTGGACTTCTATTGGGATGATCCATACTTGTTTAAGATTTGCACGGATGGTGTGATTCGAAGGTGTGTCCCGGAGGGAGAGCAATTGAGTATTTTGGAGGCTTGTCATTTATCCCCCTATGGTGGCCATCATGGAGGGGTGAGAACGGCTTCGAAAGTTTTGAGTTGTGGTTTTTATTGGCTAACCTTGTTCAAAGATGCAAGTGATTTAGTGAAAAGATGTGATCAATGTCAACGAGCAGGCGGGATTTCCAAGAAAGATGAGATGCCTCTAAACACAATTCTTGAAGTTGATATCTTTGATGTATGGGGTATCGATTTTATGGGCCCTTTTGTTAGCTCGTGTGGTAACATGTACATTCTTGTAGCGGTTGATTATGTGTCAAAGTGGGTTGAGGCCGTGGCCTTGCCCAACAATGAAGCTAGGAGTGTGGTTGCATTTCTAAAGAAGAGCATTTTCACAAGGTTTGGTACACCTCGGGCAATCATTAGTGATGGAGGATCGCATTTTTGCAATAGAGCTTTTGATGCCTTGCTCTCCAAGTATGGTGTCAATCACAAAGTCTCTACACCTTATCATCCTCAAGCAAGTGGCCAGGTTGAAGTGTCTAACAGGGAGATCAAGAGCATTTTGTCCAAAACTATCAACGCCAATAGGACCGATTGGTCTAAATAGTTAGATGATGCTCTATGGGCTTACCGGACCTCTTACAAGACCCCAATTGGTACGTCGCCGTACCGGTTGGTGTTTGGAAAAGCATG